AATTCAACTGTGTCTTCAAAAAGTATGACTTTAGCCCTTGATAAGAACATTAACCAGGTTGTAGTAAACGTCTAGGGAGTTGCTATAGTGGAGCCAATTCAATAGTCTCATGAGTAAAGAACTAAGTCAGCATCTCACAATAAGGTACAGCTTGGTCTTTCCAATGGAGACCAAAATATACCTTCATTAGTACACTTTGCTTGTTGTGTAGTATGTCTTGGGGGCGTTTCTTTCCAAACATTTCAAAAATCAACTTGTGCTCATATATTAAAATCTTATCATCAATATCTTTGCATGCTTAGCTTTAAACAATGGCAGAGATTCTCAACTTGTTTAAAAACAGTTGTGCAGTTGAAGCAACAATAATTTAAACCCAGATATAGATCTCGCATAGTAGTATCAGTCATTGAATTAGCTACTGCTTTTAAAAATCTAGCTGGAGTATTCGATTCTTTGGCTAATAATTCTATGAGCTGGTCATATGGATTGTAAAGAAGTATTTCCTTCTGGTTGTTTTAAATTACTTGCTGGTCACTTTATTCTAATCCTCCCATTCCTTTAACAGCATTGCTCTACTCCCTGCATTTCTAGTGGTTTTAAATAACCACAGTAAACCCCTTTATAATTTTTCCCAATTTCAGACTAAAATATCTGTGTAGTCAGATTTGGATCCTAGCAGTCCTATTCCAAAACTTTCTCCTGGGCCGCCTGTCCCAACTGTCCTCTCCTGTCACATGCAAGTCATGTCCCCAAGCTGGGATGCCATCTCTGTGCCATGTTCATACTTCATGCTCTTGATCTTAGCCCATGGCACCAGATCTCTGCCTCTTTCTTCCTGCATCCCCAGCAAGGAAGCTGGAGCCACCTATGGACGCCTACTCGTGTGTGATGGGAGAGCTCTCCTGGAGGACACCCAGTGCTCTGAATCGGCTCCACATATGGTTTCCTGTCCCAGGACCATACGTGCTGCCACATCCTCATCTCCTCCCTGACATGTGTTTTGGCAAAGCTTCTCCTCAAGCTGGTGAAGAGGCACAGGGGGACGCTGGGGTAGCAGTGCCTGGAAAGCAGCACTTGGCATGGGCAGCAATAGCTGTTCCAAGGTAGTTTTCGTGAGAGATGAGTTGTTTGCTTGATGACTAATGAATTTGCTTTAAAAGCACTTTTTGGCTCATTCTAAGAGTTATTTGCAAATGTATTTTGAATTGGTGTCTGTCTCAAAATCATTTGGGAGGAGCAGCCTGTAGTTACCTTCGGGGAGGAGTGGTGCTTACCCCATGCAGCAGCCTGAAGGTTAGGGTTTTCAGACAAAGCCTGGGCCCCTGATCCACTCCCTCTTCTCTCTGGAAAGGCACTGTCCGGTTTGTCCCCAACAGCCAAAGTAGAGTCTGCTGAACAGAGGTGCGCTCAGTAGCACAAAATGAAGGGATTTTGTGCTAGCTAAGTATTTATTGAGGCATGTTAAGAAAAAAAAAAAAGAAAAGAAAAGAAAAGGGGCTCTAGCTTGGTAGCTAGGACATAAACTCCTAAAATTTAATATGAATTTCAGCCTAATTGCAGTGAGTGTTTCAACATTACACAGGCTGCATTAACATCAACAGGAAAGATCTTTTTTTTTTGTTCCAGAATGCCACTTCCACTTTTGTTCTATGTTCTCCTTTACAGTTTCCATTTTCTTGTATTTGGAGAAATTTCGTGTGTGTAGATTCCTGCACGGCAGGCTAAATGTACTCTCCTGGGCTCTCCAGTGTTTCATGCCTGTGCCAACCTGATATGGGTTCAGGCTGCCGCTGCCAGAAGCTGTTGTCCTGTCTTCCCTTCTTCCATTTGAGGGCTGTGAATTCCTTCTCTCTCCCCTGCACCAGAGATAGCACTGTGCGGTTTGAAGGGTAAATGCAATTTTTTTTTTTTTTCTCTACTAGTTTTCAGCCTCAGTCACCTTTTGCAGACTCCTTGGAATCTCTTCCTAATATCTAATCTAAATCTACCCTCTTTCAGTTTAAAACCATTACTCCTTGTCCTATTGCTACACTCCCTGATAAAAAGTCCCTCACCATCTTTCCTGTAGGCCCCCTTTAAGTACCGGAAGGCCGCTATAAGGTTTCCCCAGAGCCTTCTCTTCTCCAGGCTGAACAACCCCAACTCTCTCAGCCTGTCTTCATAGGGGAGGTATTCCATCCCTCTGATCATTTTTGTGGCCCTCCTCTGGACCCGCTCTGACAGGTCCATGTCTTTCTTATGGTGGGGGCTCCAGAGCTGGACGCAGTACTCCAGGTGGGGTCTCACCAGAATGGAGTAGAGAAGGACAATCACCACCCTCGACCTGCTGGCCACACTTCTTTTGATGCAGCCCAGGATGCCGTTGGCTTTCTGGGCTGTGAGTGCACATTGCCAGCTCTTGTCCAGTTTTTCATCCACCAGCACCCCGAAGTCTCTCTCCTCAGGGCTGCTCTCAATCCGCTCATCACCCAGCTCGTATCCATATTTGGGATTGCCTCAGCCCAGGCGCAGGACCTTACACTTGGCCTTACTGAACTTCATGAGGTTCACATGAGCCCACCTCTCAAGCCTGTCCAGGTCCCTCTGGATGGCATCCCTTCCTTCTAGAGTATCAATCACACCACTCAGCTGGGTGTCATTGGCAGACTTGCTGAGGGTGCACTCAATCCAACTGTCTGTGTCCCTGACAAAGATGTTAAATAATACTGGTCCTGGACCCCTGAGGGATACCACTTGTCACTGGTCTCCACCCTGACATCAAGCTGTTGACCGCAACTCTTTGAGAGTGGCCATCCAGCCAATTCTTCATCCAGTGAATGGTCCACATGTCAAATCCATGTCTCTCAAATTTAGAGAAAAGGATGTGTGTGGGACAGTATGAAATGCTTTGCACAAGTCTGGGTAGATGATGTCAGTTACTCTTCCCTTACCTACCAATGCTGTAACCCTGCTGTAAAACGCCACCAAATTTGTCCTTTTTGGTGAGTTTGGTCTTATGCTGTTGTGTAACTGCACACTGCAGTAGTAGTATTTTCCCTGGCTGAGGCTCAGCGGTCCTCTGAATGGCAGGGACAGTGCCAGTGCAATGCCAGGGGCTGTAGTTCCGACTGGCATCGCTGGATTTAGCTTGCTGACGATAACTTTGTTAGCACCGGCTTGGGAATGGAGCATGGAGCAGGGAAATCGATGTATAAATTTTGACCATGCTTCTTCAGTGAGTGAGGCTTGTTAATTGAAAGACTTGGACAGAAACCAAGTGAAGTGGTGGTATGTAGCGTAGCTGCAGAACCGAGGTGTTAATGACACTCCGGCTAGGAAGAGTAAGTGGGATCTGAGGCAATGTTGCACTCTAACAGCATCTCTGTTGGGTACGAGAGAAGTGAATTAAGCTTTTATGTTACAGTATTTCCATATGGAGCTACTGTTACACATGGAACTACACTAACATTTGTGATGAGCGTGGAAGGGTAAACAGCATTAGATGCTTCTGTGGTTCCTTGTCACTTCCATTCCCTGTCTAAAAATACAGTAACAAGAACACAGCGGGGAAAAAGCAGGTGTCATTCCTGAAGTATAGATTCTGTAATTCTTACGGGGTGTGAAGGATAATTTTTTTTTTTTTTTTTTATGATTACAATATACCAAGTGTGAATTGGATCCTTCTCAAAGCGAGGAATTAATTATGCTGCCTACAAGTTGGAATAATGCGAGGCAGTACCACACAATCCTCCCATTGTGCTGTCAGTGCACCTGCACAGTGTCTTCTGTTCCGCTTCCAGACTTCTCGTAGGAAATGTTTATTTGTATCTTGTAGTAAGATAGAAGTTGCCAGTACGCATCAGAGTAGAAAATATCTTGTCTTCTAACACTGACAAGATATAGAAGTATCGTGGTGAGTAAAGGTGGGGTAACCTGACTCTCATAGAAATGTTTATCCTGCCTCTGTTTGCCTTCCAGAGTTCTGGTTCACCATGAATTTTATAACTTTACCACTGATCAATAAAGAATGGGGAATTAAAGTTTTGGCATTTGCATTTCCCTGCTGTGAAGAGTTGTGTGTCATTTTCCTTTCTATCTCCTCAAATATGAATCCTCTCTAATTTCATTGAGTGATCGGTTATTCTCATGTTATCTAAAACAGAGCACAGAAAGTCGGTCTTTTCTTTGTGCCGTTTCATTATTTTGTATAATTGCATTATGTCTCCTGTAATCTCTCCTTTGTAAGGCAAATAGTCACAGTCTTTTCTGTTTCTTCTCATATTAAAATTTATCCCAATCCTTTATTGTTCCTACTACTGTTATTGTCTGAATCCCCTCTAACATTGGAGCATCCATTTTTTGAGATGCTGTTACCAGTGCAGCATGTGGCATGGCAGAGATAATGCTGATCTACAGAAAAGGAATGTTACCTCCACACTGCTTACCATTTTATCCCTCATTTATCTTCTTTTTTTTTTTTTTTTTTTTTAACTACAGTAAAGAATTTAATTTAGAAGACTCGTCTTTCTTGAGAAGTGTTCTGTGACCCTGAGGTGTCTTTACTGAATTGATAAAGTTTGTTTTAAGAAGTATTAGAGCACATGTAGTTACATTTTCTCCCTGTAGTATGTGCTGCTTTTGATGTTGAGCTCATCATGATACTGTCTTTTCACCTAGCTTTTTTCAGGTTTATCTTGAAATTCTTCACTGTCATTTCTGGTCTTTGCTGACCCAAATAAATGTGTGTTGTCTACAGACTTTGCCACCTCATTGTTCATCTTTTCCAGATGAAGAGTAAATGTACTAAACAATACAGAACTGAGTTTACCAAACCTTTTTCCTGATGTGGAAAAAAAAAAATAAAAATTGAAGACTTCAGTTAGACTACTCAGATGATTTTATAAATTCTCTTTATTTAGATTTCAATAGCTAAAAGACCTAGATTGCTGCTACTTTTTTTTTTTTTCCATACAAAAACTAGAACAAAACTAAAATTCTACCAAATTGTCTTACAGACCCTGTCCAGAAGAATTTCAAATCCCTATTTGGAAACTCCTTCAAACAAGGTACTTGTCAAGCTTCTTTTTAATTCCATTTCATCAAACAACATATTAGGAAACTTTTTGCTTTGGTTCAACCTCTTAACATAGCTTTGAAGACACTTGTGAATGTGGCCTGCAGTTAAATCCAGTTAACGAGTTATAATTTGTGTGTGTTAGAAATTGTCTACTTCTATTACTGAATTTGCAAACTGAATTGTTGTCAACTCCAATGTGTACTTGCTTCCCAGCTGTTTAAATGATTGCCATCATTTAGCTTACTTTTGCAATATTTGAGAGCTCTGGTTTTGCATCTCACAAGACTTTACCGTCTCAGGACTGTTTTATATTCCTTGAAAGATTCTGAAAGATAGGAAACAACAACAACCACCAAAAAAAAAAAGAAAGGTGAAACTGCAGCATTGTTTTGCTTTCAAGTTAGTTATTGGTGTTACTGATGTGTTTTGTGGTGAGGAAACATCACCACAGAAGCCTGAGTTAAATTAATCGGTAAGGAGTGGTATACGGAGTCCAGGTGGAACATGGTTTTATGGAAGATGGAGTTGGGTCCTGTTTTGATAGACGCATCTGTAGCCTTGAGTTGTAAGTTAGAAATCAGGTGTAGGGGAAGTCAGAGGTGTATCCATTCTGCAAGACCAGATCCTTCTGGCAAGGTATGGATTAACTGACCTGTAGCTGTCATAGGATACCTCTGAAGTTTCTAAACAAAAAGGAAAAACTATGCAATGGTGTTTCAATGTGTATTAGGCTTGTATTAAACTATTTAACTCCAATGCACATGGAATTTTAACTGTATTTTTATGGTTTTGCAATGGCTACTATAGTTTTGGTTTGTTTGTTTGGTTGGTTTTTTTGCTTTGCTAGAATAACACTTGTTTTCATTTGCACTTGTCTGTAAATCTGACAGATAGTAAAACCTCTGGTTTTCTAAGGTGGAAAATGTAAATGTAGTGCAGCTCGTGGCAGCATCTGCAACCCATGATACAGCTGGGTATGGCAGCAGTTGGGGTACATTTCCTATGGGGCTTTGACTGCTTGCCTGTCCTTTAGCTGGGGAGAAGGTATTGCTCAGATGGAGGGAGCGGAG